ATAAAACGTCTCCCGTCACTAAGCCAGCTGCATCAGAAGTAACAAATTGTTTATTGATACATTGCATACCGAGACATTTTCCTCAATTCGAACTGATATTCAAGGAGCATCCTGCAGAAAGTAATTGATCTGTTCAGCATTGAGTATTTTTGATTTTTTACTTCGGAATCCATCCTTCCCTTTTGAGGAAATGGGATATGTTGCTATATTAATATTGTGATTGATATTTAGTGTTGATCGGAACATGGAATATATCGACCAGAGTGATGATGATTTCATGAAATTTGGTAATTCTTGAAGATATACTAGAAGGATATTTTCCGAAAATGACACGGTATTATTTCTAATTCTCCAGTCCAGGAATTTTTGATGTGCTATTTCGTATCATTTACGAGACTTAGCGGGTAGCAACTCATTTTTTACCATTCTAGCTTTTTCCAACATTTCTGGTGGTGTAGAAATAATCTGCTCATCGTCATCGCTTGACATCATTTTTTTTTAACTGAAATTGAGGATTCTCAATAGAAAATAATCATATTTTCAACTTTCCTGATGCTTTCGGTTTCGGTTGATAGCTGGATTGATTGATAGAAAGATAAGTACCTACCCACCTAGCTAGTGACATTAATGAAATTGTTAATTGTTATTGACACATCGCCTAAGCAACAAAACAAAGCCAACTATCAACATACCTATGAAAACCGTGCGATCGCTCTCTTTACGCACACGTGTGTAAGGAGAAGCATACTGCCATTGTTTTGTGTACAATATCCATCACCTCGTCCACCACTTACAGTAGTAGTCGTAGGAAAAATGAATATTTGCATTCTTTAATGGTTAATGATAACAAGAAAATTTTATGAAAGAACAGAACAAGGATGGAAAGGTATTGAAACTTTATAACGATACAGGCAATGGTGATTGAATGGTAATAATTATGCATTATATACCCACGGACATGTGACTGACGGACGCCTTGAAGCAACTCTGTAAAAACAAACTTCTGATAATTTATTGTATATACATCTATTACTGAAAAACGAAATTTATATGCTTTCACTAAATATTCAGGAAACCATCTTTCAATAAGAGTTGTACAAAAACTCATTTCTGCGTTCAACTTTGCAACCGCCGGGACACAAAAAACAAAGAATATAGTTTTCTTTTTTGTGATCTTCCTTTGATGCCAGACATACCGTTGTTTTTGTTTCACACACGGTTGAAAGAAAAGCATTAGAGAAAATCTGCCAACAGCTTGACGTCATTGAATATTAAATGTGATGGAGATCAAATTGCCATGAACCAGCCGCTGAATCTTTCTCGAAAAAATTTAGATTCGAGAGATTTCTTCAAATAGAATGCTACTTATTTTGACTCATTTTTTTCAATAATTTTCAGTTACCTTCTTGTTTTCTAATGTCTACAATGTTCTAATCACTTGAAATTAATTATATATTTTGTCGAAATAAGGTCACCTACAGATGCACACTTGAAAATTTTGTGATGTCATAATTATCAATATCAAGAGGAAATATTGCTGGAGCCGTTTGACAGATGAATGTTTATTATTCCTGATGCATTCTATCGCTTCAGAATGGTAGAGGATGGCGAAAACATATTTTTCTATAATGGAACACCCCGTATATTTTTTGCCAACTGGTGTAGAATTAGAGCACGAACAATTTTTCGTATGTATATGTCCCTATCGGTAATTCATATGTGCATAAAAACAATATTATCAATGCAAATTCAGACTTTCTTTATGAACAATCGATTAAAAAAAAATTAACGGCAAACAATAGTCATCATGCAAAATGTTAATAAAAAATAGAAAATCAAAAACGAAAACATGAGAACAGAAGATGAAAAAACTATAATAAGTGCTCAATATGACGCCCATTTTAATTGGCTCACATTTATATCCACTTTAGAAATTAGTTCTTCACTGCTAGAAGTTACAAAAAACTGCTATTTTTATAACGCCTGGTGGGTGACGCCACACTCACTCACTCTTTGACATCATTGGAACACCGTAGAAAGGTCGGCGACCTTTCACTTTTCTATCGATACTTCCACGGGAAATGTTCTTCGGAAATCTCTGCTATCATCCCTTCACTAGCAATAACAATCAGACGAACTAGACAAGCCCAGTCAGCACATCCTTTTGTTGTTAACCTCGAAAGATGTCGAACAGCATTTTATCAAGACTCCTTCATCCATAGAACGGCTAGTCTCTGGAATTCATTGCCTGTGGAAGTATTCCCAACAACATACAGGGTGTTTCATTGGGAAAGGTAAATAATTCAACTGTGGCTAGGGGTCACTGAGGTGATTTCAAAAAACCCATGGTTGATGGGTCTTCGACTTCTTATAACCGAGATACAGGATGTTTCATCAATTTTGCCTATATCTTCATTGTCTCATAACTTTCCAACCAACCTGTATATATTTTTAAAAATTGGTACACTTGCTCAATCTACCCTGTGGAATTGATTGAGGCAACAACAAAAGATAAAATCCAGGTCCGGCTTCACTTAAAATTCACAAATTCTTTCTGCCAGAAAACAACACCCTATACATTCGAATTTCTCATTTTTTTTGCCATATCTGAAAAGAACATCAAAATTTCTATTCAACGATGTGCTTTTTATTGGTGCACAGACGATTTCAACAATTCATATTATTATGTGCTCAAAATATTATTTTTGCTCATTTTGGGGTACAAAATTGGAATCAGACGAGATTTATTAATTTTATTACTTCCTATTCAGTATACGTGAGTATTACATTAAGAAGGAGTATTTCATATCGTTCTTTGTTCCAGACTTAGTTGCAGGTCCGTCATCAAAACTATACAGGGCTTTTCACGATAAGCGTTAATTAGATGTTTCTGGCAAACCAGGCAACGGATAAATCTAAAAATTCGGAAGTATGTATAAATTAACATGATCTACACGTCTGAAATATTCGAAACAATCCGGCGTTGCTGCTTCTACTCGAAAGGAACAGTAACTTTAATTTTTCAAATGGGACACCCTGGATGCTTCCTGAAAGGATTTAATCGATTCACAAAGTTTTGGGTCTAGTGCGAATAATAACTGAGATATTTAGAGTGAGAAAAATCGAGATGTTTCAACTTTAGAATTATTTTGCGAAAATATTTATTTTCGATCAAAACGGGTTTTATGTCCCTATCTCAACTTTGTATCTATTGACATTTAATCGAAACAAATACAGGATGGTTTATAATTCAGATTTCTGCACCACCCTGTATCTGTTTCAATTGAATATCGAATGGAAAGTTGAGATAGGGACATTGAAGCCGTTTTGACCATGCAATAATAAATAGTTTCGACACAAAACATTTCTAAAGTTGAAACATCTCGATTTTCCACATCCTATATCTCAGTTATCAGTCCCGCTAGACCTTGAATGTTTTGAATCAATGAATTCTGCTGTTCAGCAAGAATCCAAGAATGTAATGAAATACACGGTGTCCCATTTGAAAAATCGAAGTTGCTGCTACTTTCTAGTAGAAGCGGCAAGGCCAGATCGTTTCAAATATTTCAGTAGTGTAGAGTATGTTAATTTATACATAACATCGAAATTTCAGATTTATCCGTTGCCTGGTTTGCCAAAAACGTCAAATTAACGCTCATCGTGAAAAGCCCTGTATAGTTTTGATGACGGACCTGCAACTAAGTCTGGAACAAAGAACGATATGAAATACTCCTTCTTAATGTAATACTCACGTATACTGAATAGGTAGTAATAAAATTAATAAATCTCGTCTGATTCCATTTTTGTACCCCAAAATGAGCAAAAATAATATCTTGAGCACATAATATGGATAGTTAAAATCGTCTGTGCACGAATAAAAAGCACATCGTTGAATAGAAATTTCGATGTTCTTTTCAGATATGGCAAAAAAAATGAGAAATTCGAATGTATAGGGTGTTGTTTTCTGGCAGAAAGAATTTGTGAATTTTAAGTGAAGCCGGACCTGGATTTTATCTTTTGTTGTTGCCTCAATCAATTCCACAGGGTAGATTGAGCAAGTGTACCAATTTTTAAAAATATATACAGGTTGGTTGGAAAGTTATGAGACAATGAAGATATAGGAAAAATTGATGAAACATCCTGTATCTCGGTTATAAGAAGTCGAAGACCCATCAACCATGGGTTTTTTGAAATCACCTCAGTGACCCCTATCCACAGTTGAATTATTTACCTTTCCCAATGAAACACCCTGTATAATCTCCAAAAGTTCAAAAAAATTTCCAATACCTACCTCCTGTCCCTATCCTCCCTAGGAACGCACGATGTTCTTTGAACATTATAGGGATTCCCTTTCGTGCGCTCCAAGCGATAAAAAAAAAGAAGCAACTTGATATTTTCAAAAATAAACCAATTAAAAACGATTGATATAGATAGCCACAGGGATCTGCAAATAAAAAATATTCGCGCCTCATTATTCTTTACATCAGATGGTCAAAAATATAGGGGGTGTTCCAATCAATTCAAACATCTTTTCTATCCATCTAGTATAATCTTAGGGCATAAAAATGAATCAGAAATATCACACCTTCGTTTATCAAATGGCATTATATTTCTTTCCTTTTGAATTCAATCAGCGCCAGGACACAATAATATTCGGTCCAATTACTTACCTATACAAAAATTCAATATCTACCTCCTTTTATTATCGTTCCCAGGCACGATGTTCTTCGAACATTATAGGGATTCCCCTTCGTACCTTCCAAAAAAAAAATTTAAAAAAAAAATAAGATAAGGAAATGAAGTAATTCGTTTCACATCGTCGGACAGATTCAGATTCCAGACACAATTCATTCCAAGGTGTAATTTAACGAATGTCCATTAGGTCTCACAGAGTTTGATAGTGGTGGAAAGATGAAGTCTTTCGACCAACTAACACTTTTTGGACAATCAATGTATCATCGATATTTTTCATAATACAATAACTATTTTGTTTATTACAGGAAAGTCCATTTGGCAATTAGTTTTAGAACAGTTTGATGATCTTCTAGTCAAGATTTTATTATTAGCTGCTATTATTTCATTCGTAAGTATTTCTTTCTTATTATTTCACTATGTACTGAAAAATGTAATCGTATCATAGAACAGTGAGAATAGGAATTTTTGGTTTGTGAACTGACTCACTACAAACTCTATTATTATAATTATAAAAAACGATGAAATTTCTACAAAATTCAGTTATTTCTTCCAAGTGAAATACTCGTGCAATAAATTAACTTTACATCGACTTGCTTAACTTATACATACGTATACAGGCTGACTGACATAAACGCCTTGAGTAGCGCCGATATCATCTATCCGACTTTGAAAAACAAAAAAGCAAATGGAATGACTCATCAGATACTATGAGCAGGCTCTGATCATGATTTTGTCAAATTTCAACTGTAATCTCAGCGACTGTCAGCATGTTCGAGTTTTATCACTGGTCAATAATATTTTTCTCGTATTTTTCATAGGTTTAAAAAAATTCAGATATTTTTATACAAATATATCTAAATTTCAGTACATTGAGTAGTTTCGGAAGTCGTGCATATACAGAGGTCGGTGACTACCTCTGACCTCGCCAAAAGCTCGGGTTCGCGGTTCGGCTATTAACAGCTGATCGATATTTCACAAAAATTCGACCAAAAATTCCAGGCAATCTTTGAAATCCCATATCTTTGAAAACAATTTTTTTTAAGAAACATTCTTTCTTCTCTATTTAGCGCTTCAATTTCCGAAACACCTTGTATGAAAGCAGATGATAGATAAGAAAGTTTCATGTGTGTAAATAATTCATTTCAGTTCGTTTTAGTTTTAGTATAAAATGCCAAGAATTTCTATTATCACTGTTTTATTATGCTTTGATATACTGATGGTTGGTTGAAAATCACTATAAAATTGTTGAATTCGTTCTACATCGACATTGTTTATAGATGCTGTAAACTTTCTATTATTGTTTCTCTAGTTGAGAAATAAAAGTTTCATACAGAGTGACATCAAAATGAATACATATAATTCAAACTTCAGGAAAGCTCATCAAGGTACAAGGTAGGCTAACGAATGGCAGCATTAAAAAATGCCTTGATCGAAATCAAGTTGGGACAAAACCGATGGTCTTGATGTGGCGTACTAGACTTATTTTTTTATTTCCCATCCAATTTTCATGATTTAATTTCTCGTTAATCAGAAGACTTGAGAAAAATCTGTAATTTTGAGAATTCTTGTACGTATTTCAAAATCACCTTATATATTTGAGGACCTGACGCGGATTTGGGTTGAATTATTATATCTGTACTGGTACAGCATAAATATATGGCCAAGGAACCAGCAACGGGTCTAGGCTCACCTTAGACCTTCTAGCAAAAGGCTACAACATTTATAAAAAATTTGCCTTGATTATCTACCGTGAATTTCGCAGTTTGATAGGCAACTTCAACACCGTCTGGCACTTATTTCTGGTTGTTGTAATGTTTCCTTTTATCACCCTTGAACATTTTTTAACCGGTGTGTAGCCAGCTAGACAGAAGGTTGCGTAAAGCAGGCCGCGGAGTAAAATCTAACCGATTTATTGCTGTCGTAGTGATGGATTCATCATGTCAACAGTTTTTATCGCATCCATTTCACACCTCTTTCACCCCCATCAATAAGAAGCGTCGTGAAATTGCTATTGTAACTGTGGAAAAATATCCTGCTCTGGCTTTATTTGTTAAAAAATACGAAAGATATAACATATGATGAACTCATAGTGTCTAGTGTCTCGGGATTTTTTAGCATCCATTTGATCCCCTTAATTACCCAACAAAACTGAAAAAAATGGAAATATGTCATTTTGAAAAGAATGCCATATCCTGCGCTGTATTTTTTTGTCATAAAATTAAAAACATATACCATGATGAAATAAATTCTATTGACAATTTACCATTTTTTCACCCAAAAGTCGATACAGAATTGGAAATCAGTTATTTTGAATAAAATTATATATATTTCTGTAAATTTTGTTTGGCAAAAAACATAAATAACATACCTTGAATTAAATTAATGGTATCTTCTGGTTTTTCCGCATCCTCGTTTAGCCGTTACTTGATCGATATAATGTCTCAAGAGAATGAACTAGAAACCTGCAAATATTCAGTAATTTCGAATGAACACTCAAATTGCATGAAACTGGATTTTGTAGAATTACTTGCAATACAAGCAAAATCACAAAAGAACAAGAGTGCCAAAAGTTATTTGTGGAATTAATTCAAGAATCTATTCAAGTCTGCTCAGGGACGTACTTGAAAAGGATATAACGATTTTTAAATCAATAAAACAAATCATGTACCACCCTGTATGTAGATCGGAATATTTTTTAATGCATACTGATTCCCGTGCCGATCGACGGAATTTCTTAATTGAAAGTATTGAAATTATCAAGAAAATCTCTAAAAATTGAAGTGCATCGCCCAGTAGCGGTTAATCCGTATTATTGGTCTCGGGAAACCGTGTTATTACGTTGTAGATACATTTCAGGGGTACATTTTTGAAATAATAGCTATTTGAATAACAAGGGAGGAAAGTGCTACTTTTCCTCCCAAGGATGAAGTGCAAAATGGTCGTTTTCGCTAGCCACACACCACACACTTCGGTTTTGCGTCATTTTTGTTCGAACATACTTGTTCGACGAACAAAACAGCCCACCAACAACGCACTCTATGTGCTCCTTTACGGAATTCAGTTAGGCAGCAAACGGACAAATCAAGGCGGCTGACTTCGTATTTCGTATGGACCGCCAGTATCAGATGATAATATGCTCGCATCCTATGTATGATTTGATCAGCATCACTGAACGCGAGTGGAATGAGCTAATAATAATCAGTGAACACAACTCACTGTCATAGAAATAAATGTGGTAAACAATCCAAAATAGTCAGGGCGTGGAAAAATACATTATTTAATCTCAATAAAATTATCTCACTACTTCAACATTTCATTCAGATTGCTATCCTTCACAATGGATTATTGTTTTTTTCAGGTTCTAGCATTATTTGAAGAACATGATGGAGCATTCACAGCCTTCGTAGAACCTTTCGTAATTCTTTTAATTCTAATCGCTAACGCCGTTGTAGGAGTATGGCAGGTAAAGTATTCTCTTTGTCGCAAATAGACTTTCAATTTCTCGTCACGTATCTTTCTCTCTTTGTCAATATAAAGAACATTCGTCAATTTTGCGCCAAAATTATCTTGAATATTGAAATCTGATATTTTTTCGAACTATTTGTTTAGTGAAGTCACAAATTATACTTTTCAAAAGTCTTTTTTGTTTATCTCCTTTATATATCTTTGAATACATTAAATACATACTTTCATTCTTTGAATCAGTTTACTGGCTATTCAAAAATGTTCGGGCATGTATAATATTTGTTTAATTTATATCCCCCTGGTACTGAATATTAGATAAAAAAGTTATCAATTCAATTGTTGGTGTATGATGTTGACTGTTTTCTGTTTATTAGGAACGAAATGCGGAATCTGCTATCGAAGCTCTCAAAGAATACGAACCAGAGATGGGAAAGGTTATGCGAGGCGACAAATCAGGAGTACAAAAAATCCGCGCGAAAGAAATCGTTCCCGGAGACATCGTCGAGATCTCCGTGGGTGACAAAATTCCCGCCGATATCCGTCTCACCAAAATCTTCTCCACCACCCTCCGAATCGATCAGTCTATCCTCACCGGAGAGTCGGTCTCCGTCATCAAACACACCGATCCCATTCCCGACCCACGTGCTGTCAACCAAGACAAGAAGAATATCCTCTTCTCCGGTACTAACGTAGCAGCCGGTAAAGCTCGTGGTGTTGTCGTCGGTACCGGCTTGAACACCGCTATCGGTAAAATCCGTACAGAGATGTCAGAGACCGAGGAAATCAAGACTCCCCTGCAACAAAAACTGGACGAATTTGGTGAACAACTCTCCAAAGTCATCTCTGTCATATGCGTCGCAGTCTGGGCCATCAACATCGGTCACTTCAACGACCCCGCTCATGGAGGTTCATGGATCAAGGGTGCCGTCTACTACTTCAAAATCGCTGTTGCTCTAGCCGTAGCTGCTATCCCAGAAGGTCTACCCGCTGTCATCACTACTTGTCTCGCCCTTGGTACCCGTCGTATGGCCAAAAAGAACGCCATCGTTAGGTCCCTACCTTCCGTAGAAACCCTTGGTTGCACCTCGGTCATTTGCTCCGATAAAACCGGTACTCTGACCACCAACCAAATGTCCGTATCTAGAATGTTCATTTTCGACAAAGTCGAAGGCAACGACAGCAGCTTCCACGAGTTCGAAATTACCGGATCCACCTACGAACCGATCGGTGAGGTCTTCCTCAAGGGCCAAAGAGTCAAATGTAACGAATTCGACGCTCTTCAAGAACTCGGTACCATCTGCGTCATGTGTAACGATTCCGCCATCGACTTCAACGAATTCAAACAAGCTTTCGAGAAAGTCGGCGAAGCCACCGAAACCGCCCTCATCGTACTCGCCGAAAAAATGAATCCCTTCAGCGTCACCAAGACCGGAGACCGTCGCCAAGTCGCCATCTGCGTCAGACAAGAGATCGAGACTAACTGGAGGAAGGAATTCACCTTGGAGTTCTCGCGCGATCGTAAATCTATGTCTTCCTACTGCGTACCACTCAAATCATCGCGAATTGGCAACGGACCCAAACTGTTCGTCAAAGGCGCGCCCGAAGGTGTGTTAGACAGATGCACGCATGCTCGCGTCGGAACGCAAAAAGTCCCTCTCACCAGCACTCTCAAGAAGCGCATCGTCGAATTGACGGCCCAATATGGCTGCGGACGCGACACTCTGCGTTGCTTGGCCCTCGCCGTTGCCGATAACCCGATGAAGCCCGAAGACATGGACCTCGGCGACTCCAACAAGTTCTACAAATACGAAGTTAACCTCACTTTCGTCGGGGTCGTTGGTATGTTGGATCCGCCGCGTAAGGAAGTTTTCGATTCCATCGTGAGGTGCCGCGCTGCCGGTATCCGCGTCATCGTCATTACTGGGGACAACAAGGCGACCGCCGAGGCCATCTGCAGACGTATCGGGGTGTTCACGGAGACCGAAGACACCACTGGAAAGTCATACTCGGGACGTGAGTTCGATGATTTGCCGGTATCTGAGCAGAAGGCTGCTTGCGCTAGAGCCAGGTTGTTCTCGCGCGTGGAACCATCGCACAAGTCCAAGATTGTCGAGTATTTGCAGAGCATGAACGAAATTTCTGCTATGGTGAGTAACGGTTGATATCCTTGTAATTATGCCTGATATTGATTTCAAAATAACGAGAGGACGTGAGAATGCGACAGTATTTTTAAGCTTTGTAGAGCTTCAATATCAATTATCAAGAAGAATAAATCTGTTTTTGCACTATCTTCAGAATAAATCATTATTTTTCAATCTGAGATATCAATTTTCGGTATCTGTGAGAATGATAATCCTACTTGTAGATATTGAAAACATTTGACATTCTCTATGTAAATTTGATTCGCATTTGAAATTCCACTCATTTGACAGCTCTCAACGTATCTCGACGTCTGAGGGTGTTTCAAAAAAAGGTGACCCCCTTGCTAAGGTATGTAGAACACTGCAAAATAAGTTCCGTAGGCCCAGTAAAAAAATGTAACTACATTCGTTTTCATGTCGAAACTACTGGTAAGACTGTAATGAAATTTTGTATGGACGTGTGTATCTTACTCTCATAGAGGGCGCTAGTTACACGGTTCGTAGTTTGAAACAAAACTTTTTTGAGGTTGGATCTTTCAATCCAAATTTAATGTGAACTTGAACATCATTCAATTTTACACCAAAATGGTAGTCTTGGTGAAACGCGATACTGTGTACCATTTCCGGAATATTTTTATTTGAAAATGATGAAGTGATAACTGTTGCAGGAAACTATGTATTGTATCATGAAAAACTATTACCTATTTATTGAAAATCGAAAACAACAATATATATCTAATGCTGATTGATCTTTATGAATCACAAGAAAGAGTTGCAAAATTGAACATCACTTGAATGACCGTTTAGGAGAATAACTCGTTCTTGAAAAAAAATATATATATATACCGGGTGTTTCTCAAAAGTGGCTCACCCCTATAATTTTTTTGTTTGTACAGATAAACAAATGAAAAATGTGTGAATATAACAAATATTCATATGCATTTTTTTACGTTTTCACGAGCGTTTTCAATGAATTTGTCACTCCAGGTTCGATCGCAAATGACCCTTACTTTCTTATTTTCGTCACTTTTTTACATTGATCAAATTTTCACTCCACAGTGTCATTAGGAGTTATGTTATTCAACGTTTATGTCAAATATCGATTGTGTGTTATAACCTTCGTTACATTTGAAAAAAAAAAAAATAGTTTACATCATGAATTCGATTTTTTGAAATTTATATGAACCTGTAAAAGAAATGAAAAGTAAAACTACATCGAAACTATTATTCACTGGCACCTTGATCCAAAATTAAACTGAAATAACCGTTTTAACTCATTCATGGCACTCTAGGTTTGAGATTAGAAATTGAAAATTTCAGGATGATGAATGTCAAAAAGTTACTAATGGGGTGTTATTGTATGCACAATGTGATTATCTATTGAAATAAATGAAAATATACCTGGTATCCCATTCAAAATATGGAAATGAGGGTAATTTCAGATCAAAACAGTGATACAGAAAACAATTGAATAGGTTCAAAAATGCATAGTTATGTACTATACTCAGCTCAATCCTCAGATACCAAATTTCATGTTTCCCGCAGGAACAATGAACTTGAAGGGGTGAGCCACTCTTGAGGAACTTTCGGTAGAATCGTGTATTCGTGGAAACGGAGGACCATTTTAACAGATTCAATATTATATATATGTTTTTGCTAGAATTTATCTGAATTTTCTACTTGTGATTATTTGTTAAATCGATAAATTTAGCACAGTATTTATTGTTTCTGAATTTGAATAAATAGGTAATTGATCTCAATAATACTTATTTTATATCAGCATCAGATATTACTCCATTATTTTCAAATCAAAGTATTTTGAAAACGGTACACAGTGTTGAGTTTTATCAAGAGTGCCTTTTTGGTGTTGAATCGCATGATGTTCAAGTTCACATGAGATTTGGTCTGAAAAATCTAACCTCAAAAAAGTTACATTTAGAATTACTCGGTACGAACCGTGTAACTAGCGCCCTCTATGAGTCAGATATAAAATCAAATTCATGGGATTTGTCAGCTTCCAGAATATATCCATACAAAAGGTCATAACAATGTTGCTAGTAGTTTTGACATAATAGTCAGAAATGTGTAAAAAAATGCCGTTGCTATATTTTTTTACTAAGCAAACCCAACCTATTTTGCAGTGTTCTACCTACTCTAGCAAGAGGATCACCTTCTTTTGGAATACTCTGTATAATGACTTTTTCTAGGTGAAAGGTTTCACAATCCTATCGATAAATGGTATTGTGGTATGTTCTTTTTTTGCTAAGTATATTTGTATTTCAATTAAAAATATGTACAAGGTGGCCCAAATTGTAAACTTTCAAAGGAAATGTTGAAAGTGGATTCCATAAAACTGATGCAGTTTGTAGAGGATCAATTTTTATGTCAAAACTTAATGGTGAACACTGCATATTGAGTTTTATGATCGTTTCAGGGCTATAATCTGTTTGAAAAGTGGCTGAAACTCATTTTCTTAGCAAAAATTCATATGTATTCTCCTTCCATTATTAGTTATAGATTATTGGCGGTTATTGACCCAATCTCTAGTGAGCGGAGAGAATAATATCTATTTACACGTTCAACACAAAATACATAAATCATACTATGAAGTAAGTTGTAGTCGTAAATAAATACTTCAACTAGATAAGTGACTGACTACTTGTTTAAAAAAAGTAATAAAGAGAAAATCTGAGCATGTAAATATACAGTTTAATATAAAACAATACATATACAAAAAGGATACACTAAATACTTTAAAAGTGATACACTGTGGATTAAAAGACATAAAAATAAATATAAATTTACATACAAGCTGTTTGCCGAAACGTTACAATTAGGACATGTGAATGGCCGTCGCAAAAAGTTTCGAAAAAAAAACGTCCCTAGCGAGCGACGCGAGCGACTTTTTTCCGTAATTTAACGCCATTTTTTGATCATCTCTCTTCATAACATCAGATAAACCTTTTTCATTCAGATTGAAAGATAAAAAAACATTAAAAAGTTGTGTAGAAGAGTCCATAGTGCTCAAAGCGGAGTGGTGGTAATTGAAGGAAGAAAAATTCTCCAAGACATCTTCACGAAATTCAATACATGGAGATGACTTGGACAATTCCTCTTTCTTCATATGTGGATTCGGCGCATGCTCCTCTGATAGAATTGTTGATGATTTGTTGTTTACATGTTCCGGAAATAATATTATGAGAAAGTTCAGATGTTGACAAGTTTGAAGATAATTTTCCTCATCTCTGATACAAAAAGAACCACAAATTCTCACATGTCTCTTATGCTTAAATCAAGTTTGAATGTTTCTGGATAAATACCTTAAATTTTAAGACAAAAATTAATACGAAGACTATGCTTAGAACTAAGACTAGGACTATGTGAATGTTGCTTAAATCCGCCATAACTAATACCATACAGTGACTCTAGTTGGTTGTACTGTCATGTACTGTGATATTTTGATAGTTTATCTTAGATAGTTTTTGACAAACCACTTGTTTTGTACAGACAGGTGACGGTGTGAACGACGCTCCGGCCTTGAAGAAAGCCGAGATCGGTATCGCCATGGGCTCGGGCACGGCCGTTGCCAAATCTGCCTCCGAGATGGTCCTCGCCGACGACAACTTCTCCTCGATCGTGGCGGCCGTGGAAGAGGGCCGCGCCATCTACAACAACATGAAGCAGTTCATCCGCTACCTCATCTCCTCGAACATCGGCGAGGTTGGGACCGTTTCTACTCATTATATACGCCCACTGCGCATGGTCGCACTCGCATTAGTCGGCACTAGAGTTCCTGAATGTACTTGACACTGCTGTTTTGACGTTTTTTGTATATTAGAGTAGGGACACTAGACAAACAGTGACAATCAAACATAACCACAAACGATTTTGAAGCAAATCATATGTGTTGCCAGACAAGGAAAAATATGTTTTTCTCTTAGGTAAGGGATCCTCCTATCTTCCATCCTTCACAAGTCTTGGGAAGAGTACATCCATATATCTTTCTCTGTCTTTGATTTTTGTATGAGGGTGCATAGCGTCTCCTCGAGTGGGTAAAAGGGTACGATAAATTGTTTAGGAAATTATTTCTTCTCGAAATATTGAATGATAAGGCTGAAGGACTTCAATGGAGGTCGATATCAAGTTGGCTTGTACTTATATACCAACGAAATACATATACTATTTCTATGAAATAAGTCTCCTATATGTATAGGTATATATACAAGGTGTTATTTGAGTATGTGGCCAAACTGTGATTATTTTAGTGATTCTAAGAGGAAAAGTTCAAATAAACATAGGTCCAGAAATGCTTCGTTTTCAAGATACAGAGTGTCAAATTTTCAATGGAAAATCATTTTTTCGTTAATCTCTCAAAATTTTGTTGTCCAATATAAATGAAACTCGGAGAATTTGTCAACAGTATCAAGGCTACGTTATTCTCCATTCCATCATTCAGTATTTCTTGTATCACTTTGTATAGAATTTTTCAGAATTTTCTGTGTTCCAACACGATCACATATCCGACGACTATACATACAACGTTGATTCTTCGGAGAAGAGTTCCAACTTTCAATTTCATTCAATTATTCGTCAAAAAATGCATCATTCTGAATGAATACTTATAACACGATTATCAAAGCTCTGAATTTGACAATTTCGAAAACGTTTCGAGAGAAAGCATCAATCAAGAGGATACAGGTGAGAAAAAAATTTAAAAAAAATTATCTGTTATCTGTTATCTGTTATCAATGTTGACCAGTTTAGATACATCTGGTTGAGATGTTTTTAGGCATCTTACATCTGGTACATCAGAGTCCACAACGTGCCTATATGTTTTCACAAAATTATAAGAGTTCGTATACGAAGATGATCTAAAGAATTCTTGGTTGAACAGGGATGTGAAATCTGTTTGAGTCAGTCAATTCAGGAAGTTGCTGCTGTTTCATCATCAGATGATCGACCATGATCTCCATGGTGGCTATTGTAATCTCTGCTCCATCATTTCATCACAGGCAATAACCAGAAAAGGGAATTTTATTACCTGCAAGTTTTTCGTTTCTTGTTGGTTCTAAACTGGAATAAGGTTCTTTTCGATACTTGCTCAGTTTATAAATTGTGGGTTCGGCTCTTTCTCTCAATACGATCATATTCTTCAACATCAAATCTTCCGTTCTAAAGTGTACCTGATGAAAATGCGTTGAAAAATATTCTATATCCTACCAAGAAATTTGAATACCTCGCAAATGTTGTGGCCCGAACCTATATTCCATGCCGGCCGCATCATATTCTGTTTCCATTCTTGTAGAATTACGTTATCCGATGGAAATTCGAATATATTGAATTGATTTCCCGTGTTCTCACAGTTGAAAACTGCACAAACTTGCATCTTTCTCCTAATACTCTCAATTTATCAAACCTTTGAAATTTATGTCATGTACGTCCGTGTACTGTCAGTTCCCGTTTTTTCCATCAATTTATTTGTGGTTATGTCTGATTGTCAGTGCTTGTCATAGTGTCCGTACTCTGATATACGAAAAACGTCAAAACAGCAGTGTCGAGTAGCGCTGAAAATATTGCATAATGAGAAAATGATCTCCTGAACGCAGTTGTTGAATACCTGGGTATCACAAGAAGGTGCCTATTTCTGGTTTCCACATCATGAACAGCAGACCGATATGTTAACATTTTTCTTATATACGAAGAACTTCCTTTCGCTAAAATTTTATGAACCATACATGCTAGATGTAGTTTTCTTCTATTTTCCACGTTAAGCTACCCTATTTCCGCTAATAAAGGAGTTACGTGGTCTCGGATTCTCAATGAATAAACAAAGCCAATACAAGCATTTTGGATTCTTTGAATTCTACCTGATGTTTGAACGTCGAGGAAGGTCCATAAATTATATCACCGTAGTTTGAGTGGCTTAAAACTGAAGATTCACATAACTGTTTCCTCAAATCTTTGTTCAAAATTGTCCTACTACGATACAAATTCCTCAAGGACATGTAGCTTTTCTGTACCACATGTTTTATATGAGTTTTGAAACGTAGGTCATCATGGTAGGAGTACGTTTTCCTCATGACTCACCCGGTATATTTGTAATATGTTTCTTCTTGTACAACCAATGTGATGACTTTTCCTATTCAAATGTATGTGAAAGGAAAATGAAGTTTCATTATTATTACTATTACTATTATTAACTATAGGTGGTGTCCATCTTCCTGACGGCCGCCCTCGGCCTGCCCGAGGCACTGATTCCCGTGCAGCTGCTGTGGGTGAACTTGGTCACCGACGGGCTGCCCGCCACCGCGCTGGGCTTCAATCCGCCCGACTTGGATATCATGAGCAAGCCGCCCCGCAAGGCAGACGAGGGGCTCATCTCCGGATGGTTGTTCTTCAGGTGAGGGTCTTCGGTTTGTGTGGGGTGTTTCTGAGGTTTGTGCCGATTTTTTCCCTAGAAAATATTTCGAAATGAACCGATGAACGAACTAATTGGTCCACATATTTCATTTTTATTGGTACCCTATTTTGCTTATTCTAAAGACGCCTCATCATATTCAAATCCAACTTTCAAAAACGCGCGTATGTTACGACGCCAACATCATTGACCCAAGAAACAACGTCTAAATGTTTCAATAGGAGGACTGATTTTTCTAATTTCTTAAATAGAATCATCACTCAAATACCTTTTTTAGGTGCTAAAATCATCAATAATGCCACGGTAATTTTCAAACGGCTAGACTTTTACCGCTAGTAAAAACTGACGCCATGATTTCGTAAGTAGGAGCAGACCATAATAGCACAGTTGCCATTTGTTGAAATACGATTGGGAACTTCAGAAATATTCTCAATTGAGTATTGGTAATATTCCTGATTAGCAATAAAAATTCAATTGTTTCAAAATGTTCCCTTATGATTTGTGGCTTATTGCTTATAATAAATTTGTGTAAATATTAATTATATTAATTCACACTAGAGGACATTTGAATCGGTGAACGTAACAACCCCGCGGACGACTTGTGGGCGTGGTCTTGTCAGTTCTTCACTCAGCACAATGTTGCCAAGTCTCCAACATTCACATGATATTTTGTTATGAAGAATAAGAAATATTTGGTCATGCTGGTTGCTCGAAAAAGTCAAGAATGATCTATAATGTCATGAGTTCCTCCTATTATGTTTTATTCAATGACAGGACTCAAACATCTTTTTGATAACTTCATTATAATTGGTGACTTGACAACCTTGCTTCATGAGTGGGAATGGAAGATTATCTGACCAATAACGAAACAGCATTAAAACTTACGTCACCATTTATTCCACGTATCGCGAAATGGCGGCCATGATGTTATGTTTGAAATGAGCTCTCAAATTCAACGATTTACATTTAAAAAAGCGTGTAGTTTCCTAACGATACAGTGGAGATGAAAATTAAATTCTGGTATTTTGGATAAGTTTCAATTCTCAGGGTGATATGAGATGTCATAAAAGCAACACGTTCTAATTTTATTATTTTTTACCTCTGCTATTTTCGATTTTGAAATAGGAGGAGAAATTCAGTGAACCACCTTGTTCGAACCCTCGCCCAAATTATTGTTTGATGAAATTTTTGGTGAGTTCAATATCTGATGAGAAGAGTATTATAGACGTGTAAGGGTGCTTTTTCAAAAAATGTTCGGTTTGCCTACTTCTTATAATTGATTGCACCACTTCAAAAATATTTGAGGATTCATTTTATTATCATAGGTATATGGCTATTGGAGGATACGTGGGTGCTGCCACTGTTGGTGCTGCTGCTTGGTGGTTTATGTATTCACCCCATGGACCCCAGCTGAATTACTACCAATTGGTGAGTTGAAAGACAATATCCGTTCTAACCAATAACTTGTTCCCTATTGCTTACTGAGGATTCTGATTTGTAAATCTTTCGTTTGGAAAGTTATAATTACTCATAATTCGACAATCCTGAATATAATAATCAATCACCACCAATAGCATTAGCAAAGTAGATCAGATGCATGTGATATATACATGTCCGCCAATTTGGAATACATTTTTGATAGATCATTTATATAGCAGCAGAATAAAAAAATGTCATCAAGATGCGAAAAGTGATGTTAGGTGACAATTAATCAAAAAAAGAGTTAATTGAAGAAGTTGTCAAAATTGTAATTTCATACTTATGCAGGTATTGAGTTTCAAGCAATAATTCGATGAAACCAGTTACTATCTGGTGTGAATTGAGAAAAATGACTGTGGCAGAACCTGCACGATATTCAGTGAGACTCGAAATTTTTAAAATGCGATTATTAAATTTTTTTAAATGTGATGTGCTTAAAATGCCATATCATTGCCATTCTGATGTTAGATACAGACAAATGTAATAGTGGGGATCCTAGGAAAAAACAATATTTTCCAACTGTGGTAATTGGTGTAGAAAAAAATGATGAAGTCCTGTTATTATCATCAAATTACATTTCTTTTACTATCAAGCTATTCAGAAGAAAACAAAAAGGATCAGGAGGAGTTCAGAAAATACTCAAAACAAATTTTTGTCTAATTTTTGCTCGAAAAATGAGTGTACAATCATCATTTTTCAAGCGATATTCACAAATGGCTTTCATGACATCTAACCCCACTTTTAATTTTGATTAATTTGCCACTTGCCACCATACCAGCTAGTCAACGTCGAATTTCAATTTTTCGAACCTAGAGGATTATTTTTTCGTTTTATTTCCATATGTAGGGGTGAATGAGTATGAATTTCATGACTCATAAAGTCGGTATCTTGGAAACGAAAAAAGATATTCGATATTTGGAAAAAGGTTCTTGAATGAGATGTTTTTTTGCCTGATTATATCATTTCATATACAATCAAAATCCATACTCAATCAAAATCCATACTCAATCAACCCGACTTCATGGCTGACGATTCTTCGAAAAATATCTTTTTTGCCCAACTCATGTGAGTTTGAAGACTGGAATCCGCGACTTGTTCAGTTTGCCACCCGGAAAATGATAAACCTATTGATGAATTCTTCGTTTTTCAGACCCACCATTTGCAATGCATCGGTGGTGGACCCGAATTCAAGGGTGTGGATTGCAAAGTATTTGGTGACCCTCACCCAATGACCATGGCCCTCTCTGTACTGGTGACCATCGAGATGTTGAATGCTATGAACAGGTTAGTATTCGTTAAATCGATTGATTGATTGATTGATAGATTCATTTAGGCTCTCATATTTTGATTGTCAACCAGACCGCACTACTGAGACTTGAGGTCAAAGTTAGTAGAACATTGTATGTAAAGTTCCACATTGAGAGTGAAAAATGCGAGTAAAACTATAACTTGAGCTTTTCTGTTCGTTAATAGGCCACCTTATGTTTTCAGGTAATTTTGTGACTTCTGACTTTGACATATACCTCACGCTCTAGTAACACCAACTGGTTAGACTGAAAATATTACCCCCATTTAGGATAATTATGTTGTTTGGAATAATCTGTAGATTTACATGAATCTTGGATTATTGCGTTGTTCAGTTCATAGTTTTGAACACATATCCTGGTTCGATTCCTGGTTTCCCTGAACGATCATGAATTGCTATGTTTGTTAGAGTGACTCAATCTCATTAGTATATAATTGTTTCCTATACATACAGATTACATTGAAATCATTTCGAGAAATAGTCACAAATAATGAGTAGGCATTCATATTCAGATAAAATAATGGTCATAAACCATTATGGGGGGGGGGGGGGGGGGGCGAAAAGACATATTTGCTATCACAAAAATTCAAAATGAATAAATTCAAAATCTTTGTATTCAACAATTCCAGTTTGGCACAGCCAGATTACTCATGAATTATTCATTCTCCATTAGGAACCATAATTTTCAAAAACATCTAGAAATTCTTTGATATTCTGAAAGTATTGAAACATTATGTTATTCATTTTTGACTATGTGATTGATTGTTCATTATTTATTTCGTATTTGAGTGGAGAGAGTAAGGGTTCCTTCATTGTCAGATATTATAATAATAATACTTGAAAATGAGATTTCAATTAAATATATAATTTATTGTCAGTGAAATTTTGAAAATGTAAGCATTACTATTTTTAACAATTTTGCATACATTCTTCCACAACATAAAGGTAGTTAACATACTTTTTGAATTCATTCAGTAGATAACGTTAGAAATTACAAGTGTTGAGGTTCCATATCTTAATTAAAAATAGATATCCATAATTTTCTGTATGTGCATATACTATCTTTGTATTATTCAGAAATTTTTTTGACTCTGGATCTTTTCTTACAGCTTGTCTGAGAACCAGTCTCTGATTGCCATGCCCCCATGGTCTAACTGGTGGCTCATTGGTTCAATGGCTCTCTCCTTCACTCTCCATTTCGTCATCCTCTACATTGATGTACTCTCAGTAAGTAACTGGTGTTATGTATTATCCTTCCTGTGCGGTCACAAATTTTCCTCAAAATGTTCTAACAATGTTTAACTTGAACATAAAGCTCACACTTTCTTTCGAATTTGGAAAGTCATAATTCTCAGATGCTGCAATTGATTTTCTTTGCAGAAATTTAAACTTATTTGATGAGGTATTTTTAGGAAGGCTGTACAAATTAAGGTTTGCATTACAGTTGTATCATTCTTTTTTAGCTCACATGTGTTTGAACTTCAGTGTTCACATTTCTTATTTTGATATATAGTGAAGATTCATAAAATAGTTAGGCCTCAACATTTTTCTTATACATTTTCGTAAAATGAAACTAGGAGGCAAGACAGCCATAGGATAAAAGGATAATAATCTCTTAGGATTGGATAAACCCCATGTGCGTAACGACGCCATCATTCACCAGCGATTTCGGATTCTATAAATTAACAGAAACTGCATCTCTTTATCAAATAAATAATTATCTCCTTCACTATTCTCGTGAAATCAATGAACATGTTGAGACGAAAAGGACCGATGACTTCCGAAATTGGTTAACCTTCAAGGTTCAAGAACCCAGTATACCAACAAATAAAAGTCGTGAATAAACAAGTTCTGCATATTTGCTTTAAGACAAGGACAGATAAAAAACTACTACATATTCCTTGGACCAAAACAATTCCATATAAAAAGTACAAAGTTGCTCAGTTTGGGCGCTAGATGGCACTGAATTTACAAATATCTAATCGTTTTTGCTTCATTGCATAATGAACATCATTCCTTGGGGTACAACTTTGATTTTTTTACTTATAATCACACGAGTAATTTTTTTTGTGGAAGTAAACATGACATGTATCAATAAGAATTTTGTTGCCTGGCAATTTGACGAAAAAAACTGCCTCCTACGGACTCGTAATTTTTTCTGGCAGTTTTTTGCGTTGAATTACCTAATGGCATCAAAATTGGAATTATAAACACCAAGTTTACTTTCACTAAGAAAAAGCTAGATTGTAATTCGGTAAGACAATTTGATTCATCAAACATTTGTTTATGGCTGGTAGTCATACTTTCAAAAGTTAGGTTCCCTTATTTTCGCTGGAAAAGTTAGGACAAACTGTTTTTGCTGTCATAATGACAAAATCACGGGGCTTGTGGGATTTTTCATACATGAATTAAATTGTCAGTAAAAGAACATCTGAACCTTCTACGCCAATGAAAGGAAGCAGCATTAGATATGGAATTTGGATTGAGTAACTTATTTGCTACAAAAAAGTACTCTTGATTTCAACAAAATTTCAATTTTAGTAAATTAGAGCCTCAGTCATTGAGGTGTGTTCGCTTGTATCCATTTTTTCATCGTATAATTCTTCGTTTATGTGAAAATGATGATTAATTTGAACAATTTCCAAGACATCTCTTAATCCTTTCAATGTCAACTGATGCTTTGAATTACTAAAATCCAAATTGTGTCCAATCCTTGAGAGTAATCTAATTTTATCTAGAGTACCTTTTTTGTTGTTAACAAGTTACAGAACCCAAATATCAAATTCAAACCCCCTTTTTTTTCAATGGCGAAGAAGTTTCAGATGTTTATCTATAAAATAAAGTTCTCCGCCAATCGAACGATATCCATCATAATTATTACCCAATAAAGCTATGCCAACTTACTGAATTTGAGTGAAATCTCATGAGCCGTTTCAAAGTTGTGAAGCAAAAACGATTTGAAAATTGTAACTTCAGGACCGTCTAGCGCCCAAACTAAGCAATTTTATACTTGTCCACTTGCCCTTATCTAATTGTTTTGGTGTTGGGAATATGTGGTAAGTTTTTGTAAATAGTTATTTTTCTCCGAGCGGCAGGGATAGTGGCTGCCTAGGCAGAAAAAGTTTGTTGCTACGCAACGTTCCGAGATATTCTAGTGAAATTAGTGATCAAAATTTACACAGACATAGGGTGCACACTAAATGATGGAGTTTTCATTGAAAAAAATTACACAAAATTGGTTTTATATCATTTGGAGAAAAATTGTATGTTTCGCACGGCAGCAAATGTAGATTGACTGCCTTGGCTGAATTCCTAGCCTCGTTACGCTCGGCTATGAATTATCATCCGCGGCAGTCAATGTACTACTTTTCTGCCGAGTAAAACAAATAACTATTGTTTTACTAGGCAGAAAAGTACAAGATTCAATGCCGCGGCTGTCGTTCCATAGCCTAGGCGTAGCCGAGGCTAGGAAACCAGCCAAGGCATTACATCTTCTCTTCTGCCATGTGAAACAACTTTTTCCTCAAAGTCTTCTCAATTTCACGCAAAGTCCAAATAATCCTTCATTTTTTGTTCACCCAAAGTCATTGTCAATTTTGATTACCAATTTGATTCAAATTACTTGGAACGTTGCAAAGCAACAAACTCTGCCTAGGCAGTAAAAGTATACTCTTTCTGCCTGTTGAGCGGCAGGAAAAAGCCACTTTCCCTGCCGCTTGGAGAAAAAACCTTTTAAGGGCGGGCACCCACCCTTCTTTCATTTCTCTGTATCCATGTTTCGAGATAAATTGATCAAAATTATGGGCTGTGTTGGTTTGAGTGCGGAGCACAATATGTATGAGCAGGGTTGGAAAAGGTCTTGAGTTTTATAAAAAAGTCAAAAAAGTCTGACTTTTTGAATTAATTCGGACTTTTTTGAATTAATTCATTGGAGAACAAATCAAATTCTATTTACTTGAACAAAATACAAGAACATCGCAAAAACTAAGTTTTTATTTCCGTTGAAAATCTCAAAGCATGACAATGAATACTCAAAATATGCCATTTTTGCAATATGAACTGAGACTATTGATTGAATGAAAAATGATGTTTATGCAACTTGAATTACTAATTCACAATCTTCATTATAGAGGCGCTTCACAGTTATTTTCAATAAAATGCAGCAATTTTCATGGCGCGCCTATGGATTGGTGTCACCTTGGAAAACAATTTCTCGATGCATTGCAAGAAATGAGTCTGGACATATTCAATTATATTGTGGTAATTTGTATTACTGGTGCAATTCTAGTGGTGACATGTTAGATTTTCGGAATTTCACGCATCATTAGATACACATTGGATCTTACTTTTCTTGCCTTTCTCATGGTTTCTTCTACCCAACTCTTGACCCAACTCAAAACTCGGTGAGAAGTAATACACAGAATCTATGACAAAAAGACATTGCAAGCCGGTAATTCCGATTCAGTGTTGAAAAGCCTACATATTATTTTTGCCGGAAATATGAATTGGCGCAATCAATTGCATGCAATGAAATATTGTAAACTGTAAAGCGGCTCTTAGAAAATTTTGTTTTCCGCGTGTGGTGCTTCACGGATGTCAGTTGTCAGATGCTATCGGATATTTCATTTTAAACTAGTTTAAATTGAAGGTAATAATGCGATTTGTTCCCATTTGATAAATTTTGAATTAATTCACGACTTATTTGAAAAAAGTCATTTGAATGAATTCACGAATTAAATCACGGACTTAATTCATATGAATTAATTCCTGCCAACCCTGTGTATGAGACACAATTTTATTTATTATACAGGTTGTATTCCAAGTGTGCCCCTTGACGGCCGAAGAATGGATGACGGTGATGAAATTCTCAATTCCAGTAGTGTTGCTCGATGAGACACTGAAGTTCGTAGCAAGGAAGATCGCTGACGGTACGAATGCCTTTTACACTGTGCACTGGATGATACTAATGTGGGCTGTGTTTTTTGGCTTCTTGAGTGTATGCCCCATTTAAAAATAAATCATCAATAACACAAAAGACAAACTGCCTCTCTAGACGAGGACAGAGCCTTAGTGCGTAAACGGGTGCTAAAAAAAATAAGAAGGGAATACTTTTTTTGATTGGACCAAGATCTGTTAATTCAAGGAAGTGCCTTTTTGGTGGTTTCTTTTTTCGACGCGCAGAACATACCGTTATATTTTATAGAATTGTTTTATATTATCAAGTTGAATAGATCATTTCTGTGGCGGACAATTTTGATTTTGAATTTGCGCTTCCTTTACTGGATTGCTGGACACTTGAAGTATTTTCTACCTGGAAATTCCAGTTGAATTCGGCACGTTTCACTGAGAGAAAACGGTTTGCGCGAGTGAACTAGTTTGATTTAGTACTTCAAAATACTAAATTTTTTTTTTTTACTGAAACACCCATTATATTATATTTTCATTAAAAAACTATCCTTTATTTACAAGGCAGTGGGCACAAACATAGACAGGTACAGATATTCTAATCATGAGAACCACGGGACAGGGAACATCGGATCATAAAAGATGAATCACTTTTTTTTATTGTCTTCAAGCAGATTTTTGGTCATCTACTTCCGAATCTGTAAAACTGGTCACAGTACGTAAAAGAGTGAATGTCTGTACCTTCAAAATGAAAAGATATAGAGTTCCAGGGCTGGACTCTAGAACAACTATAAAATGAATACGTCTGTTCCCCCTACCAGAGATTCCTACGTTGATATTCAAATCGTGGTATCTCAAGGCTGCATATCTCTTCTGAAAATTTATCAGCCTTTGTCCCGGTTTGAGAAGAGTCTATTCCTTTGTTATGACGAACTCTCTACATCCAAAATCCGTCAAAAATGAAGTCTATGAGTGTATGCAATAATTGTTGAACACGTTTTTCAGCTACAAGGACATTTGAAGTTTGAATCTCGAAAATTATAGTGAAGTTTCAAATCATACAGGGTATGAGTTAATCACACAAATACCTCAATAGTGGCCCAAACAAATTGAAAGGAATGTGCTGGTCAATTTTATGGCAGTGGCTATTTGAAAGAATCACGAAGTAGAATATAGATAGAATAAGGCAATTCAACTACCTGTCAAACTATCCGCTTGTTTGCACACAATTAATTTATACGCGAACTTTTGTTTGTATCAGGACAACTCTTATATTCACAGAAATGTATAGAAAGAAACAATACATTTGGTAGGGTCACATTATTCTATTGATTTTATATCTAGTGCCAACCAAGTGCCATATTGATTCTAGCCCAAGTTGGAGCGCCTAATTACTAGAATTATTTTGGAATGAAGAAGTCGTCATAGGAATAGTAGTCATGTTGTAATGATATCAATATCAAGAGAACATGGAGTTTTTTTCAAGAGAGACGTGTGTGAAATGAAGATGAAAGAAACATTTTCAGTTAAAATACATCAAGTTTCCAGCAAATTTTTGTAACTGTTAGTGAAAATAGGTTTTATTTGAAATTTCGGAGCTTTAATCTGCCAGCATATTCATTTTCAGTGATGCAGAAGTATAGATAATTTTTAAATTTTGATCTAATTCTAAATGTCAATATTTTGTGTCTGTTGTGTTCTTTTCTTCGAAAGCAAAAATCAAAAGTGATGCCCGTTTTTACTCACTAAATCGCAACCTTAAATAATGCTAGTGTTCCCTCTAGTGTCTTTAACATAATTAGTAGGTAAATGTCAAAAATACCGAGATCAAGATGCACTCTTGGTTTCGGTGTTTTTTTTTTAAATTGGAATCAAGTGAGAGAACGTCGAATAAACAGGCAAGTTAAGTGACCTCAAACGAGTCGTGATTCTTAGACAAAAATTGAACTATTGGAGTGCACAGTTTGCAGTTTGTTACAAAACGCAACAAGACTGACACTTTAGCGTGCAGCAACGAATGAGAATTTTTTTGGGTGTAGTAAAAATAATCCATAGCACATCTTTGGAAACAGGTACAATTTCAAGTATGCCGTGTTTTGACTCGATATTCCATTAGATAATCTTTAGAATATTTTGATATTAATATTGCAAAGTTGCATTGCTAATGTGTTATTCAGGAAAGTGATATTTTCGAGTAGACATGTCGAATCGTCCATATTCACTAGATGTTAGGGTAGCAGTTTGTTCTACACAAGTTGTGGAATCAAATATCTATAGTTGTTACTATTTATACACAGGCAAACTTGAAATTGACTCTCCAACAGATATTACTGAGTATCAGAGATGTTCAAAGCAATCTCAATGGTTGAAAGCAAGACTTGATATAACATTCCTTCAGATTAAATTATCCGTACTGAACTGAATATTATTTCTTTTGATTGTTTACTGAATTATTTTGAGCCTGATTTTCGCATTAATGTTGTTTTGAACCATTGAGTAATATAGATGATGAAATTATCGAGCATAATGTTTCTGTGATAAAAGTGACAAGTGCGGATTCATTCTTCCAAGAGGTGATGTCATGGTGCAAAAACGAAGCAACTAATATTTCTCTTCCTAAATTGATATTTTCAATATATTAATGTTTTCATGCCCTTATCTGCCAACTCCATTAAAACCAAGCTAGTTGAGTTTCAAATTAATTTTCATAGAACATTAAATGACTGGATTTTAGTCCCCTTTCAATAAAATTGTGGGGATGATTTTGAGTGTGCTTACTTTTTTATCTCTACCCTTTAGAGATAACATGGACTTCTTTATACTCTTTTTTGATTTTCACCCCCCTGCACTCATTAAAAAAAGTTGAATTTTGTAAATATATTTGCGATTTTAATTAATGAAAAAATATAACACAAATTACATGTCATAGATGAAAATATTTCGTGTTTGTTGTTTCCTAACAAAAAAACAATAGTATCATATATATCATATCCCACTGTATTTGTTAACGTTTGTGAGACTTTCACTGAAATAAGGAAACAAGGCTCCCTGCGAACTATTGGAATTTACCGTGAACTGCTGTAAATTTGCTGATGCGGCAGTTCTAGCGCAAAAATGAAACGTGAGCGGTGTCACATTGAAAAAAATGCCTTTGTTAATACAAGCTGACCCGACTCTAAGAATTCTATGTTAGGTATAAAGAACGTGTCAAGTCAGTAAAATGTTTTCTAATAAGAATCTAGTACAAATTCATAGTAGTTTTTTAATACATGGATATCGTCCATTGAATTTTCTCCTTTTATCATAAGGATTATACTTTTTGCTCGATAAATTCCTCTTCTATTGAAGTTAATCATAAAATTCGTTGATTTGTAATATATTTGAAATATTTTGTGATTTTCATCCACTGTTTGTATCAGCGCAATATTTGTGTGGATATTTCATCAAATTGTTTTGAGGTGTGTAATTTATTTATACAGAAAGTTATATAGTTTTTTTTAACGCTGTATGTTATGTACAGTATTTAGAATTAATTTTTGCCCCATGAGTCAGCGTTTACACGATTTTGAAACAATTTGAAATATATCAATTTATAGTTGAATATGGAGATACAGAAACTCCATTGCAGTTCCATCAAAATCGGTGGAAAACTGTAAATAATGTAGTGGGCGGTATTTAAATAAAATTATTACATAATAAAGTTTTGAAATTATGTGTTATTGCTTTTTTCAAACAAAGTGCTCAAACAACTGAACCATTAAAAAAATTCAAAATTCTCGCATTTGAAATTTTCCTTCTTTGTTATTGCATGTGGATGTCATATTTTTTTCACATCAGTCCACAGTGCAACATAATGAGAAGATTACTTACATACAATTGAGATAATTGCAAATTTTATATTCTCTGGAAGATTACCTAATTAATTCCAAATAGGAAAACTATGTGGTAAGAAGTTGAATGTCAAAGATGAAGGATGATGATATCTAATGTTGTTCAATTACTCATTTTGGCTGATGAAATTGTTTGAACACTTTAATTCCGCCTGTTATTAACAATTCGCCCATCAGTTGAGGAAGTGGTGTTTCCTTTTAATAATAATAAGTATGTATGCTCAATGTTGTCTTATTACATTCTATGTTTCTTGACTTGGTATATCATTTTCCAGGAATGAATCACTTCCTGAATTGACATTGCTGAATAGAAAAGCAGACTAAAATCTTCATTTTCAGGTTACATAAAAAGCTGAACATAGTACCAACAACGCAATCTAGGAAAATTCACTTTTTATGTTACCAATATCAATTCCAAAGTTACAATTTTCTAGTCCATGTTCTGAAACTTCTTTGGACTGTCCATAATGAAATAGTTAGTTTGAACTCTTGTTTTGATACCTTTCAAAACTGACCCTAATTCTGATCCATAATTGCGATTTCCACACTACTGTCCTACTTTTTTGTGCAACTAATCATTTTCCAAGTTTGTGAGTATGCCGTTATATAGGTATTTTTTCATTCACTGAAAATAAATTTTCATGGAATCGAATTGAGTAGGGTCAAAAGTGAGAGTTTTCAATATTACACTGCATCTCAAAAACAAGAGGGCTGTACAAATATTTTTCGCGGCATCGTTCGTTTCACAAAAAGAAATAGGGTATGAACTTTTTATTTTTGAAGACACTACTATTCATGGTATCAGGGATGCCCCAATTCTGATAATACAGAAAAAGTGAATTTCCTTCTACACAATACAAACTCGCAGCTTTTCACCAAATATGCAGTCATTAGTGTTTATGTTTCATTAAAATATCAGCTGGACAAAAAGGATAGATAATTCCACATTCCAATTATTGACTGAACTAACCTATGTTTGGTGTTGTGAGATTTAACAGAGACTGATATTTCATGGTATTGCGTAAGTATACTTCCCTATTTTGTATAGCCATTGACTTGATACATATGTCTTGTATACACTCATGATTTCTTTTCGTTTTCCACAGTACCCACTCCAGCTCCCAGAATGTAAAATGCTCGTTTGAGCACATCTCCAGCTACCTATGTGACGAGTGGAATGTACCCCCAGACCTCCAAAAATGTGTGTTCTCTCAATTTTGCATGAGGTGTCCTACAAAAACGGGTTATTTCAATATTGGCGAAATCAAACGCGCGTCATACTTGAAAATGAATATTATTTTCAGAGAAAATCAAGCCTTTGTTTACAACTTGTTTCAATTCGCTACATCCCACAATTTTCGCATAAAAGTTCACCGAATCACGTGGTTCAGTTGATACTATAGAATATATAAATTGTAGTCGATTGTTACAGAAGGTTATTCATTTTTCTGGAAAGTATCAATATGTAGGTACTTACTGATAACACATTGTAAAATTATTATCATCTAATGACTATAATGCGGTTGAATCGAGAGATATATCATTGTTGGAAGAAATACCACTGGTTATCTGCCTATTGAATCATTACTATAGGTGAATTATGTTATTGTATAACTGATAAATAGTATAAGTTCGATTGGTCATACTCGAAAAAAAAAAATCGAATAGGTACCTACATTTTCTGAACAAGTCTGTTGGTTGGTTCAGAATGACCCGTTTAATAGGATATTTCTTATTACTACCTGCTTACACTTGTTCGATCACTTAATTAAATCACATTACTAAAAAGTTTTTTTATTTTTTAACTTGGCGTGTTGCATTTCTAATAACACTTCTATGATGCTTTCTTATTCTGTTGCAGTTGGTGAGGTAGTTGTCGATAGATGGTAACATCCAGCATCAGACTACATGCTTTTTCGATTATCACCTTGATATATATTTTTCAAAGACTCGGCTAGCTTTTAATTTTTTTTACCTAATCCTTCGCCCTATATTTATTTGCTAGTATAGTCACGCATCATTTTTTTAAGACTTATATAGTTGTAGACACGATCTTCTGAAAGCTTTATTTTTTCTTTACTCATTTTTTGCTAAAAGTTCACTATCGTCTTCTCGAAGACCTGTGATTTGGTTCTAAGACGAACTAGAAATATAGGTAGGTACTAAATTATCTACAATCTTAGTATGATATGAAAGAGATTCCAAAGGGCCAGTATGACAAAAGTTATAAATATATTAGGATATGTTGGACCCAAAAACCACTTGCGAAATGTGAATATGTGATCGGACGTGATAAAACTGTGGTCCCGAATCTATCATACTTAGACTTGAAGTTGTCGAAAAATGTAAATATATTTAAGATAAATTAATGAAATAATATTGTTATCGTTACATGTTGGGGTGAACCTTTTGTGACCAGCCCAGACCAGATATCAAGTAGGAGGGGGGATATCCCCTTCCACCTTCCCCTGAGTGTTGTTGTCGCCATGTTGAATTTCATAGATAGTTTAGGTCACTTTTCACCAAGGTTATCTTTCGAGTGGTCCCATTGTACTCATCGAATTTTCAGTCTGAGCTGGTTACGAATGACCGAAGACTGCCATAGTTTGGCAGTCCCTTTTGATGCACATTGTATAGTTCTACATTGTAATTTACATCAGTTTTGTAAACAGGATATTTGTGTAAATAAAGTGACGGCGTTATGGCTGTCTCAAGTTGAATTTTGTCTCATTACTCGATTCAAACTCGTAGTTGCGGAAATAAAACAAAGCTATAATATACATACCTATACTCTCGCAGAGAAACTTTAGTTGAAAAGAGAGAT